GGTCTGTCGTAAGGGGAAGAGAGAGCTGAGCCAGAAGGTGAAGCTTTTGATTTACCGGTTGCTCTACTGTATATGTTCCTACCCTCACCTATGGTCACGAGCTTTGTGTAGTGACCGAATAACGAGATCGCGGATTCAAGCGGCCAAAATGAGTTTTCTCGGCAGGGTGTCTGGGCTCTTCCTTAGAGATAGGGTGAGAAGCTCGGTCATCCATGAGGGGCTCGGAGTAGACCTGCTGCTCCTCCACGTTGAAAGGAGCCAGTTGAGGTGGCTCAGGCATCTGTTCAGGATGTCTCCTGGACGCCCCCCTGGTGAGGTTTTCCAGACACGTCCAACTGAGAGGAGACCTAAAGGGAGACCTGGAGGGACTATGTCTCTCGGCCAGGTAACGTCTTGGGATTCCCTGGAGGAGCTGGCCCAAGTGGCTGGGGAGAGGGAATTCTGGGCTTTCCTTTTTAGGCTGCTGCCTCCACAACCTGACTCTGAATAAGCGGACAAAAATGGATGATGTTCAGCGTGTGTATATATATATATATATATATATATATATATATATATATATATATATATATATATTAGGGGTGGAACTCGATTAAAAAATTAATCTAATTAATTAGAGGCTTTGTAATTAATTAATCTCGATTAATTGCAGTTCATAGCAAAAAGAAAAACTTACCCCAGTAACGCTATTTTAAAAGATTTGAATGAATTTTGGTGGATGACAAAATTAAGCAATGCAGACATGAATTATAAATGTATTTTATTATAGTCAGAAAAACTGCAATTAAATGCATTTAATTTCAGAAGAGTAGCACAAGAAAAAAAGATGTATACCCGGCCAAAGTTGAACAGGCCAATAATGAGTATAATTTAACTTAAGTACTACAAGTAAATTTTGGAAATTTAGTGGCATGACTAATAAGGAACTTGCGGGCTAGAACAGACAACTGTGGGTGGGTCCCAGCTCGACTGGACCACCACTGCAGTGGGCAGTCTGTTTCGCTGATGGTGGATTCTTCTCTGTATAAACTCAGGGCCCTGTTGTATAGGATTTCCTCGTCTGAATCAGAGTCTGAAGACAATGATGTGAGAAGCAGGCTCTTTTTCTTTGCTGGCTCCTGTGTGGAGGCATCTGTACTCTGGTCCTGCAGTAGGGTTTCAAGGCTGCGCCAAACCTCTTCTCGCTCTCCCTTCACAATGCACTTTAAATCCTTGAAGCGTGGGCCGAGCACAGTAGCCATCTTAAGCCATTCATGATTCAGAGTAGCGGCACGTTGGGATAAGTCCTTTGTGAAGGCAGTCTTGAATTTCACCATGTAGTTTGAGTCATCATCAGAGACTGCCATGGTGTGATGCAGGTGGCAGAGAGCAGGTATGACCACTGAGCATGAGACATAAGTCTCGCCTCCCAGGAGCACAGTCACGAATCTGCAGTAGAAAGTCCAGGAAAACAATTATTTATAAATCTACAATAACTGTCAACTATAAAATAAAAACAAACTAAGAAAAAAGTTTTATTTACCTGCATGGTAACCTTGCCAGCCTTTGGCGTTTCACCAGCTCTGATGGAGTTAACAAGACTAGCTTGTGTTTCTGTTTGTTTAAAGCAGCTGAAACCGCTTCTTGATTGTTTAGTAGACGAGATATCATATCCAGTGTTGAATTCCACCGTGTGGAAACATCTTGTATGAGAGCCTCTTTTTCTTTCCCTAGTCTTGCTTGCTCCCGGTGTAGCTCTTCTGTATTAGCAGGACTGTGTTTAAAGTGCCCCACAACTTTGCAACATTTTGCTAATACGTCGCTAAACCCACTGTCGGCAAGGCTAACTGTGATGGCTCTTTGCAAGATATGAGCAAAACAAGGCATGTGTTGGAATGGGAGGTGTCTTGCTGCAGCCACCATGGTTTGTGCACTGTCGGTCCAAATTGTGGTGACCTTTTCTTGAATTCCCCATTCCTCCACCACAGAGAGAAACTCTTCAGCACAGAGTTCTGCATAGTGTCTGGTGTTCGACTTCTGCACAGTCAGGGCAAAAGACTAGATGCCAAGTACCATCTGTGACAACTGTGTGTGCAGTGACTCCGACATAATTAGAATTGCTTACAGAGGTCTAGTGATCCCCAGTAAGAGCCACAAAGTCCGCTTTCTGTAAGGCATCTAGTTTTCCTTTCTTTTCAGTGTCATAAAGGTGGTGACTTTTACTTGAGATAGACTTTCGGCACGGCAGCTGGAAAGTTGGATCACCTGTCGCTACCTGTAGCACATTTTCTAACCCTGTATCTTGTACTACTGACAGTGGCCGACAGTCCAGGGCAATCCATTTTGCAATAGAATTTTTAAGTTTATCTGACGTAGACTTACTTATTTTGGCCCTGAATCCAGTCATTTCATCAAGTTTTGGCTGCCGAGACGGCTTGTTTGTACTCGGATAGCTAGCGCTTTCTGTACCATAGGGTTGAAGGGCTCCAATGGTAAGCAAACTCTTTTTTACAAAGTTTGCACAAGACCACGCTTTTATCAAGGCTTCCGTTGGGTAGTTTTTTTTAATTAAATTTTCCTTCTGATGGCCCTAACAACGCACTTTCTTCTGAGAGTTTCACTGGTATTTTCTCGTCCTGACATGTGCATCACTGTAATCTGTCGATCAGAAAATTGTGCACTGACAAAAGTTCCGCATTGACTAGAATGCAAGCTGCGATTAAATGCGTTATTTTTTAATGCACTAAATCTTCTGCAATTAATTAATCGCAATTAATGCGTTAAATTCCCACCCCTAATATGTGTGTGTGTATATATATAAATATATATATATATATATATATATATATATATATATATATGTGTGTGTATGTATATATATATATATATATATATATATATATATATATATATATATATATATATATATATATATATATACAGTACAGAAGTTTGGACACACCTTCTCATTCAATGTGTTTTCTTTATTTTCATGACCATTGGTAGATTATCAATGAAGGCATTAAAACTATTAATGAAGGCATGTGGAGTTATGTACTTAACCAGAAAAGGTAAAATAACTGAAAACATGTTTTATATTCTATTTTCTTCAAAATAGCCACCCTTTGTTCTGATTACTGCTTTGCACACTCTTGGGATTCTCTTGATGAACTTCAAGAGGTAGTCACCTGAAATGGTTTTCCAACAGTCTTGAAGGAGTTCCCAGAGATGTTTAGCACTTGTTGGCCCCTTTGTAAATGGTCATGGTCATGAAGATAAAGAAAGCACATTGAATGAGAAGGTGTGTCAACTTTTGGCCTGTGCTGTATATATATATTATACACATATAAATAAATACATACATACATACATACGTATATATACATACATACATACATACATACATACATTGATATACATATATATACATATATATATATATATATATATATATATATATATATACATATATATGTATATATATGTATATATATATATATATATATATATATATACATACATACATATATACATTAGGGGTTGTATGAACTAGTCGACTAGTCGACTTCACGGCTCTGTAGTGACTTTTTATGCCTGTCATCGACTAGTCGCTGTCACGTGATAATGACTGACAAGATGCAGTCCTCCAGCAGGTGATGAGCCCCTGCGTCAGGAGGCGGAGGCGACGCGCTGTGCCAGAGCGTTGGTACCGACACCGGCGGTAAAACGGACATTTAACCAAACTGTGACCTTTTCCCTCTTGCAATTTTACCTTCCCCTCACCCCCATCCTAATCTTAACCAGTTTGCACATGCAAAGCTCTGATCGTTGCTCCAGACATCTACGTCCTGAGCACCGCCAAATCAGGTGTCACCACCTAAAAAACAAATTAAACACGCAATCGTTCATGTCGGCTCATTTCCTTTCATGTTTTCTGTCTGTTATTTGTGCCTGATGTGTTTTGCTGCTGCAGAGCGAGGCTCTTCACCTGTTGTGTTCTCTGGTGACGCACCCCCGAAATTCCACTATCTCCGCTCCGCTCCGGCACGAACTACGCAGCAAAAACGGTCCTGTTGTAGTCGGCCGGCGAGCAGCGGCACTCCGCTGTTTTTGCGGTCGGTAGATCTTTTAGAACTGCAGTTCAAAGGTAACTCATAAGGTGAATAGATATGAAGCCATGTAGCAGTTTTTCTTTAGGATTGAGAGGAGATGCAGGAAGATAATAAACAGGCAGGACAGAAAAATAGTCAAATAAAAACAAGTTAGTTTTTGTACCTGGTGGTTGCAACAAACAGACACCATTGAAGGTAATCAGAAGTGAGGAACAGAAAATGAAATAATTATTTTAATGTTTAGAGCAGCAGGAACTCAGAGAGGCTGTAGGCACATCAGTTTGCGGCTGCTGCGCACGGGGAGGGGGGAGAGGACTGAAGTAGGATGTAGAAACTACCGTTGTTAAAAGAGATGTGTTAACTTAAAAAATTCTTTCTTTCTTCCGATTTGGGCGCAATTTTAATTGTCAAAAACTCCAGCGAACGTAACGACAACCCCCCCACCCCACCCCCCCGCCCGCCGCTTCAGGTGTATGACGTCATCAAGGACTAGTTAAAAGTCGACTCGATTTCCATTACTTGACTATCGACTTTAAAAAAAATTAAGTCATGCAACTGCTAATATACATACATACATACATACATACATACATACATATATATATACATACATATATATATATATATATATATATATATATATATATATATATATATGAATACAATATATGAATGATATATGAATAAAAGCGCCATAATAGCTCTGTTGCCTGGCTAGAGATGCGCGTTCAAGAGAGGTGTCACTTCCAGCCATAAGCATTTTTCTACCTCTAGGTGGTGCCCTCTATAGAGAAAAAACTCCAGATTTCTGCTTTAATGCGTACAAGAACAAAAATTGAGGCATTAAAGATAAAGAGACAGCTGCGTGTTTGAATGAAACCGCAACAACCTAGATGAACAAAAACTCACCGCCTCTTGGATTTGGCAGCGAAACACGTGGATCCTGAAGATCTCGGAGTTGTAGTGGCTCTCAGTGAAGGCAAAGCAGTCACTCTCCGGTGTGCCATCATGGCCTCGAACACAAAACAGAATCTTATAGATGGGATAATTGGCTATTTCTGCGTTGTTGTGGGGGTCCAACAACCTGTTAAAACACCAGTTAGTGTGTCTTAATAGTCAGGTGTGACATGTGATCATTATGGGATGTTCTACCAACCTCACAGTGCCTTCAGACACTCCTGGCACTGAGAGTGTGACATCCAGAGGGACTTGGCACTGCCCTCTGAGGATGCTCATCATACGTAGGGCCTCCACCTCACTCCGGGGGGCGTTGACAGAAGCACACCCCAGATATGTCAGCTGACTGAACACGACGCTGTCCTCATCTGGGATTGGACTACAGGGACTGCCTTCTGAGGACGATTCATCGGCTGAAGAGAGGAACATAGATGTTGAAAATGGAGTTATTCTTTTAAACATACCTGTGCTTCTACTGGGATAACACAGTATTGTGGAAACATTTTAAATTACTCTTTTAAATCTTGTAAATCTATCAATGTGGTTTTGATCAGTATGTCTTCATGTTTTCTGAAAGACTGCTAAAGTTTCCTCTTGTAACGATACCAGTTTTCTTACAAAGCATTGCAGAGACTATGACAGCATGTGTATTTAAAAAAAATGATGACAAGATTACAGCCAAAGAAGAAATTTCTGGTCTTATCCTTCAGCTTCTGTGTGAAACATTCTGTAAATATCGTATGGTGGGTCCTGAAACTGTGCTATATCTGACATAGATCATAGACTCAGCTAAATGAACGAGAACAAGCCGTCTTTGTGGCAGATGGTTGGTAACAAGTCTCTCTGGCACAGGTTCATTCACAGACTTCAGGAGTCTTTTTATGACAGAGTGACTCAAAAGTCAAAGATAAGTGGTTTCGAGAAACAAAACACGCATATATTAAAAACTATTGTACCTTGAGAGCAAAACACTGAATTAAGATTTTTTCTCAGTGCCATTTACACGAACAGAAAGAAATTAGGGATGCACGATATATCAGCACCAATATCAATATCGGCCGATGTTTGTCATTTTTTAACATATTGGGCCGATATATTCAATATTTTTTACATCGGCCGAAATTATTTTTAAAAGCCGATAAAAAAAGTTTTAATGTTTTGAGTTTGTTTTATATTTGAAGTTCAATAAATATATAGAGATTTATTGACTTATTTAATTGATATTGCATACAGTGAGTGTTGTCTTTCACAATAAATGTGCTGCTAAAATGTATATATATATATCGGCCTTAATAATCAGCTTTAGATATCGACCATCAGCAACAAAAATTCTTTAAAAATCGGTATTGGTCTTAAAAAAACCATATCGGTCGGCCTCTAATATCGGTATCATTCTGATAAGTAGAATCGGGCCGATATTAACAAATGATATTTTTTCCATCTAGTTTCCGTATGTGTTTCTGTTTCAGAGGGTGAGGGGGGTGAGGATGTGTGTATAAATAATATATACAAATATACATATATACATACACACACACAAACACATGTATGTATACACACAGACACACGCACACACAAATATATATATATATATATACATACACACACATATATATATGTAATTTAGTTTGCACTTTATAGTAATAAAGCAAGACATTCAAATATTCAGCTTGCGTAATTTTCAGTCTACACAATCTGCTGATTTCAGAAACATAAATGTCAGCATGTATATCGGTATCAGCAAATATGGGTTATTTTCCATAACAGTGATTCTAATATTGGATACCAGTATCAGCCCAAAATTTCATATCAGTGCATCCCTAGAGATACAAGAATAGAAACAAGAATAAAAAGATGAAACACAGAAATTGAGAAGTTTATATTACTTTTATTATTAATATAACATTCAATAAAGGACAGTTAGACAGTCCCATATCGACTCACCTCTGTAGGACCTCTCATTCAACTCGCTCTCCTGAGCCGTCTGAACAGGAAGCACCATCTCCATCTTGGGCGACGGTGCACTCAGAGGGTCAGTTCCTGGTGGTACAGGTGATGTTGTGTTTGGTGAAGGGCCATGGTCGCCCATACCAAGACTACTGCTCGTTCCGGTTTCTGATCCCAGCCCAGCGTCTGCTACCGACGGGTCCATGAGGACATCCTCTAGCTCTCGTTGAAGCTGCTGCTCACTCCCATTCCCCACAATCTAATACAGACATGAACGCGAAAGTGAGCATGGAAATAAAACAACAGATTACCAGCCAAACACGGAATAAAACATGAGAAGAAACGTAGAAACAAAACCACAATGTCAAATTGAAGCTTTTACATATATAGACTTGCCTAGTTTTAGAGTTTAATTGGTGTAAATGCAGCATGTAATTAAAACAAAAAATACGTTGGTTTTTTTTTTGTTTTAGAGAAAAATCTCGATTGAGTTTCAATATTAGTGACTTTAGTGAGTGAGTATATTAGTAGAATATGTAAAATAGCTCAACCAGCACAAAGAGGTAACTGAACCAGTAAGATCTGCTGTTATCCAGATACAAAATCCACAAAGTGTGGAGAAAAACAAATACAGACGAGCCTTGCCGTGCTACCTGTGCAGCAGTCAACAGTTAAAGCAAAGAGAACAAGACCCACAACAGCAGAGGGCGCTGTTGCACAGGCCAACAAAGGAAGGTGAACCTTTGTTGCTTTCTTTACTAACAAAAAGTAAACACAAAAAAGTCATCAAATTAGGCCGTGCTTTACCTGTGTGAGAACAAAACGGATGATGTTAGACTCAAGCATTTCCTACAGCAGAATAAAAGCTGAACCCATATCGTAATCTTTGAAAAGGGTCTGCACACATTCAGCATAATTACAGTGGGGGTTGGTTTTACAGGTAGAGCAGCAAGCTGGGCGGCTGACACAAAAACTACTGTCTGTATCTAAAATAAAAGCAGCATGTCTATCATCATTTATACAAGGCCAACCCTGCACAAGACACAGGAAGCAAGAATAATCACAGGCAGAATAATAATCACCATGAAATCACATCACAGAGGCACAGGAAACATGTTCGTACAAGCAAAAGACTCTCTGGGAAGTAGAAAGGGAACAAAAAATAGCTTGAGAAGAGACTGACCTTAAAGCTGACCCCTTCCTCAGAAATCACCTGCATAACAAACAACAAGTTTAGACTCTTTTCCTGACTAGGTGGGCTGATGGAGAAGGAAACGTGCACAACGATGTGTCGCCAGGAAAACACAAAGATGAAAACAGGATGAGCAAAAGTCAATGGATGGAGTGATTTGACCTCTGCACAGTGTCAGGTCTGAATCTGTCTGGCAGAAGGCAGAAAGACACTGAGTAGGTAGCACAGACGCTCCACTTTGAGGCCCATCAAATCAACAAAACGCACCATCGTATTTGATCCACACACAAAATGACACTACGTTTAAGTCCAGCATTCTCACTAAATGATTGGGAACTACCGTGCTAATCTGGCACCATCTCCTGGTGTATCTATGGAATTAAACCTTCCTTGGAGTTGTGAAGCTGCAGTAGTAGCAAAACTAGATTCCTTGTAAAACATGTGAGAGGAAATTTCATTAAAGAATGAAAGGAAAAGAGAAAAGTGGAGCTGGGAGAGGAAATGTGAACCCACCAGGGACACAGGATGATGCTGGAACGCCTCACCCCTCACACTAAATACTATTATTTGCTCCTTACAATGAGGCTAACGTGAGCTTGAAGCTGTACTACTCCTAACAAACTCTACATTTAGAACTACATTCAAACATAAAGGCCTTATAAGCATAAACAAGTATCGATGTTTAATACCTTCAGGGAACACGAGAACAAAAACACTAATATGTTCTCCAGTTGTTGATTAGTCTACACAAGTTTTCAAAAACAAGCAAACAAACCAGTAGCTAACCCTAACTCTATATCCACACAAACACCCACAAAGCAATGGGTGTTTTATGTTTAAATCGCTGACTGAAACTCAAAAGAACAAAACATTTAGGTTCCGAGAGAAACGAAATGAGAATGAAACAGCAACACAAGCGATGTTAGTAAGGTGTGAGACAGTGAGTGTAGTGTGTTTAAAAGGATGGTTGAGTGCTTTAAGTATGAGGGATGAACAAAATAATCTTCCCTTACTGTCATGCTTTATTCTGCAAACATTTACTGTGCTGTGAAAAAGTATTTGCCATTTGATTTCTTCTGTTTTTCATTCTTTGTCACACTTAAAATAAAGCAGTTTTCAAATGATGATTTTGTTAATTAGAGACAAAATCAAACGAACCTTTGAAAACAGTGGTAACACTTTAAAATAACGTTACTTAGTGCATTATTAAGCATTAGTATAGTATTAAATAAAGGATTAACAACTGCCTAACCATATTATGTAATGCATCACTAAGCAGACACCCCGTCCCTTTGTCCTAACCTTAAGGACACTTAATCGCTAACAAAAACAGTAACGTTGCTAGAGAGAGCCTTTGTTTATTATTGCTTAATAATAATGCACTAAGTACCATTGATATAGGGACCCTTATTGTAAAATGTTACCAAATTTATTACCCTTTCTGTTAAATCATGATCTCTTTGATGAAGATTCAGAGGGACGCTTCCTTAGTGAGAAGTTGGTGACACCAGCGATGCTGTGTGGTAGAGGCCGACCGATATAGCGGGCCAATATATTCAAAGTTTTTTATATCGGCCTTCGGCCAAAATTATTTTTGAAAGCCGATAAAAAAGCTAAAGCCAAACTTACTGCTTCCAGACCAGGAGAATGACTGAGCTTGTTAACTACAAACTCTTTTATATCATGAGCCAGGGTGAGTACTTCTCTCAACTTTCCACCTTGAGTTGTGTTTTGCAGGAGAGGAAGTGTTCCAGCTGGACCTGGTCTGCAATCAGCGGGTCTCCTACATAAGGTGGATGGCGAACACAGCTCGATGCCGGATGATTGCTACAGCTTGGTAGTTTCCAGCCTTCGTCGTGTTTTTCTAGGACTTTTTGAGACTCTAGTGTTCTTGTGAACTCTCTCGTGACTTTTGGTATTTTTGGCTACCCACCTCCAGGTTCTCTCGACACCTCAGGATACCACACTTGTGCTCCATAGGATTTCCGGACCTCACTCAGGCACGTTCTCCATTCAACCTGACCGACCCGCTCTCCTACTCACCTCACGCTCCCCCTCCTGGACTCCTCCACTTGGAAACACCCCAGCTCTCAACCTCCCCCCTCACTCCAGAGCTTTTCCTGCACCCCCAGAAAGTCTTCTCTGCACCTTCCTAGTTAAGACTTGCTTCCTTGGACTCACCTGTGTTTGCTCTCCTCCACTAGACGCAGCACTCCCATTCCCCATCCCACTGGACTTCCCAGTGTGCCTTCAGTTACCCCTTTTATAATAAAATATATTATTTATCCATTTATCTGTGTACGGGTTTGTGATTCTGCATGTCTTGGGTTAGATGTATTCCCCAAACCATGACATTTTCTCACTTATCTAACTCTGGGAAATCTAACAACAGACACATTTTTACTTCTGAGTGGAATATCCCTTTAAGTTTGGTGTTTAATGTTTGCACTATTTTTATGTATAGTTTAGATTTTGTTTTTACTACAATGTGGTAGTGTGCTTTTACTTTGTGATTTATTTTACTTGAAAATTCCACCTCGACCAGCCATTTTGCACCATTATTCTGGGTACTGTTTGATTTTCTTTATTTTAAACGCTTGAAAAAAAATTGAATCTGTTTTATTTTTGATTGTTCTATTTTCAATTGCTCTGAAACTGTTGGCACATTGTTAATGTTTTGAGTTTGTTTTTTATTTGAAGTTGAAATATTAAGAGATTTATTGACTTATTTAATTTATGTTGCACTCAGTGAATGTTCAGTTGTCTCTCACAATCAATGTGCTGCTAATACGTTTATATATCGGCCTTAATAATCGGGTATAAATATCGGCCTCTGGCAACAAAATTCTTTAAAAATCGGTATCGGCCTTAAAAAAACATATTGGTCGGCCTCTACTGTGAGGTATGCTAAAGTTGCGTCACTAAAGGAGTAAAAACCAATACTGATATTTTACCAATAACATCAAAAGACCGATAATATCAGACAACCCTAGTTCAAAGATAATTTGTTTTCATAATTTGCGATTGCAGGTTTAAAAAAACAACAATAATAACTCAATCAAGAAAACTGCTGTACTAAAAGCAGACTGATACAAAAATGCTTACGGACCTCTCAAGTTACCAATTGTCATTTCTGATGGGGTATTAAAATACTCTCAGACAAAAAAAGAGCTACAGACCATAACCAATCCTAGTCCTGGAGGTACACTAAGCAGAATGTTTTTGTTGTTTCCCTGCTCCAACCCACCTGAATTAACAGCTGAATCACCTGTTCAGCAGCTCATCTAGCTCTGCAGAAGCCTGTTAATCACCTGCTGAGTAATATCAGGCTTGCTGGAGCAGTAGACCATCAGGACCAGGATTGGTTACCTCTGCTTTAGATAAACAAAAGACTAGAGTAGGACGTTCTGCATCGGAAGAAATTAAGTAATTTGTAATCAGAAATTCACATTTAATCTCAGAGAAAGAGTTTTAAAAGGAAACTATGCAGTTTTGGCTTGCTATTAGCACCCCCTAGAGTCCTAGTTCACTGTCGTAACACAGAAAAGTGAAACTCTTCTCCTTGCTGTTCATTTGTCTATTTAACACCTTAATCTAACAGCTGAAATGTCTCCTCAGCCTTCATTAGTTTCTACAGGTGCGGTTCATTGCTAAATCAAACAAATCAGTTGTGTTCACGACATAAAACATGCAGGAAACATGCTAGAAGCAGACCCCAGCGCTGGCATGTCAACTCCACTTTACAGACCAGGCTGGATCCTCTGAAGTTGCAAGTGCGATATAATGGCCACAGGGGGCAGTAGGGTCTGAGTGACATTTCATTGACCCTGTTAAGGGTCATTTTAGCATATACTGACTAAAGAAAATTATTTAGAAATATGAAAAAGTTGCGTAGTATACCTTTAATCAGACGACTACATTTAATTTAACGATCATTTACATTATTAATTTTGTTACATTCAGTTAAGAGAGTTTGCAAAGCTAGTGTCCACAGACAGACAGAACCTTGTCTAGGTTGTTATAACTCAGTGCAAGTGTTGTAATTATATAGTAGTATGTATAATTATGTATGAATATTTGAACATTAACACGACTCGATTCAATGACCTAAAAGCAGCAGAGATGAGAGACTCGCACAGGCTGCTCGCTCCAGTGGAGGAAGAACGCTTTTTGACAAATTACTGCACTCAATCAGCTATTGTTGTGTTTAAAATGGTGCACCATTTCTTCAGTTATGACTGACTCCATGGTTATTGTACACAGGCAGAACTTGTGTCTCCATTATGTGCTCCTCATAAACAAAGCAGGAGCTGCACTTCCACACTTTAGAGTTCTGCTTTTTCAGTTCCTAACATTGCGTCAATCAAAATAAAATCAATCTTGGGACATTTTTAAACTGGTTGAGAATCTCTTATGTCTGTATCGCATTGCATCAAGAAAGATCATATCCTTCACCCTTGGAATCAATCGTGAATACCTATATTCAAGAGAATGCCTGACCTTTGACCTTGAACGGGCCAGTCATGGAGGAAAATGTGGCTGAATTAAAATAGTTCTGCAAAGAAGAGTGCAACAAATTCCCCCACAGGGATGCGAGAGACTCATTATCGGCTAACACAAAGTTGCTGCTGTCGTAGGTGTTAGAACCAGTTATTAAGTTTAGATGTCTTTTCCACACTGATCCACCCCGTTTTGGATTGAGTTAAAAAATGCATTAGGTATACTCAGAGTATGTTTACTCATCTGTAACTTTAAAGTGTGACAAACAAGCAAAACTGTGGAAATTCATAAGAGAGGCAAATATTGTTTCACAGCACTGTACACTTAAAATAATTACACGGCGCTGGGTAATTATGTGTTGGAGCTACTAATGCATACAAAGTAAAATACACTTAAATGTCAGTAACTATTGAGTAACTATTACTAAGACAAACTAGTACAATATCCTTAAAATGTACTTACAGTTTTAATATTTAAGTATATTCATCTCAGAAAAACTAGTTCAGTAAACAAAGTACAAA